GGGGTCCGTGCGCCCGCCGCCCGCCCGCTCACCCGCCGCCGCTCTCTGCCCCGCAGGCCGAGCCATGGTGGAGCCGCCGGCCGAGCCTCCCCCGCAGCCTTGCCCGGCGCCCGGGGGGGGCGGCGGGGGGAGAGCCGGCCCGTCCCGGAGAGCAGTCGCCGCTGCTGCACCTGGATCTGTACAACTTCGACTGCGCGGCGGCGGAGGGCAGCCGATACGTGCTGACCAGCCCGCGGTCGCTGGAGGCCTGCGCCCGCTGCGCCGTGCGGCCCGTGGAGCTGCTGCCGCGGGCGCTGGGGGACCTGCTGCGAGAGGCGCCCGGGCGCTCCATGCGGGTGGCCGCCGGCCTCTACGAGGCCTACGAACGGGAGCGCCGCCGCAAGCTGCAGCAGTGCCGGGAGGAGCGGGAGAGGATTATCCGGGAGGAGAAGAGGCGGATCCTCGCGCCCCTCGGAAGCCTGCCGCCCTCGCCCGCCGCCCGCGTCGCCTCCCGCGCTGCCGCCGCCGCTGCTGCTGCCGGCGGGCCTCGGACCCATGGCGGGGGGAAGGCCAGGGCGTCGAGGGGTGCCAAGGGCAAGAGCCACTCCCTGGACTCGCTGCAGAAGCGCCGTGAGGGCAGCTGGGGCAAGACCTCTTCGGAGTCGGGGGCCTCGTCCTCCTACAGCGGGGAGAGCTTGCGGGAACGGGGAGGCAAGGTGGGCGGCCGGGGCCGGGGGGCAGCCACTGCCAACGGGTCCTTTCTGGGGCGCAGCTTCAGCCTGGGTGACCTCAGCCACTCACCACAGACTGCCCAGAGGGTCGAGAGGATCGTCAGGGAGGTGAAGAGGAAGAAGGGCCTCTCGGAGGTGCCTGAGAGGGACAAGAAGATTGCGGCACTGATGATTGCCAAGCACCAGGAGGCCAACATCCTGCGGGAGCAGCGGCAGGCAGCCCATCTTCAGTGGGACAGCCAGCGGCGCCTGGCTGAGCAACGTAAGGAGCAGGAGGAGAAGGAGAAGCAGAGGGCCCTCCTGCAGGGTCAGCGGATGTGGGAGAGCCAGGTGGAGAAGCGTCGTGGGAGGTTGAACCAGGAGCAGGAGGAAGCTGCCCTTCTGAAGCAGAGGCAGCGCCTCATGTGTGAGGAGAGGTGGCGGGAGCAAGCAGAGAAGCAGGAGCGGCTGCGGAGGGAGAGGCTGGAGAGGGCCATCCAGGAGGACAAGCAGAAGAAGCTCCATCAAGAGCTCAACCTAAAGGCAAAGGAGGAGGTCAAGAAGGAACACCAGGAGCGAGAGGAGCAGCTCCTGCAAGAGAAGCTGTCCACAGCTGCACAGAAGAGGCTGAAGAAGGAGGTGCAGCTGCAGAAGGAGAAGAGACTGTTCAACCAAGCAGAGAAGCTGAAGCATGAGGCCTTGCTCAAGGAATTAGCCAAGCAAGAGGCAGAAGAGAAGGAAATGCTGAAGGCCTCCCTGAAAATGAGTTTGACGAAGGCTCAGGAGAACTATGAGCAGCTAGTGGAGAAGAGAAACCAGGAGCTGAGGGAGAAGGCCAGGCGTGAGGACATGCAGATCCAGAGAGCTAAGCTGGCAGCAGAGAAGAAGGAAAGAGAGCAGAAGGAGCACTTGGAGGCACTGGCTAGAGAGACAGAGAGAAAGCTCCAGCATGCTGCCCAGGTGGCCGAAGAGGCCGTTCAAGAAAAAGCCCGCAAGGTAGTCTTGAGTCGTCTGGAGAAGGAAAAAGTACAGAAGATGAACAAGCAAAAGGTGGAACAGTATGAAGACTTACGACGCAAGGAAATCCTCCTCTCTATAGAGAGGAAGCTGGAGCGAAGTGAGCAGATCTTCAAGGAGAAGAAGACTGTCTTAGAAAATGCCAGATCCGTCGCTCGGGCATCCTTCCACGTCCGGGAAAAAGTACGGGAGGAAACAAACATGCGCACCTTTGACAAGATGGCCTTTGAAGCAGAACTGCATGCTCACCTTAACAAGAAATGAAAGATCTTGTCATGGATGAGTGGGGGTACACCACTGGTTGTCCATCGTAATACATCAGAAAGCTCCTCCACATGAACATTGGAAAAACAACAACAATCAACATCCACCCTAATTTCTTATTCTGGGGGAGCAGGGTACCGCACAAAATTGTGGCAGCTATTTCACATACAGTTTTAAGTACATTTTTTGTTCTGGGTGTGTTTTAAGGACTGACCTCAGTCATCTTTCCAGAGGGGAAGCAAGTTTTTGTGTCCTTCCACCCCACAAGCACACACAATTTTTCAGAAAGGGCTGCAGAAGAAGTCTGCTTGAAGCCTGTGAGTACTGATGGGTTGTTTACACCGGAAATGAGTACGGCTGCACTCTTTTCAGTTTGCAATGCAGACAACAGAGGCAATTAACTATTAGAGCCTACCAAGTAAGAACCAAAACCATCTAAGCTGATTCTGCCTTGAGTGACAGGTAGTTTGGTTTAAGTTATGGGACTGCACTTTCAAAGCTGGTACACTTCCATGCTGAAGATGAGGAAAGCTGGAGTACAGAATTCCATATGCCCTGGGTGCCCCGTGCCCACTGCTGGTACCAAGTTAGAGAAAGCACAGATCAAGGCCATGTAAGTAGACATTATGATCAGAGCTGGGCAGAAGCTGTTAGTGCTCACAAACACAGTTTCGCTTTTGCTGTTTGTAGTTGTTGCCCCTCCTAAGTATCCCCACCTTTCCTTCTCCTTTTCAAGTTTCTCTTGCGAACATCTGTAGAATTCCTTCTTTTCTTTTGGAAGAGGGGGAGAAGGAGAGAAAATTGTGGGCAAGTCACAAACTGATGGGCACCCACATAGCACACTTGTTCATTGTGATATAAAAATGAGTGAACCTGTGAAATCTGGACTTAGGGGGAAATATGGGGATCAATTGTAAATGGAAATCTGTGATTGCATAGACTGCATAGAGAAATGAACCTTGGGAATTCTTAAAATTCAAGGAGACTCTCAGCCCCTTAGCCAGTTGGACCCACCTTGAGCAAGGTGTTGGACCAAATGTCCTCCAGAGTTCCTTTCCAACTTAATTGTTCTATGAGCTGCATACAATGAGACATTCACCCAGCTCTTATCATCGTCTACTGAACAGAGGAGCATTTCTCTGTCTACTGGTGCTAACAGTTGTTTTCTCATATAGGGCACAAGAAAGAGTAGATGCAGAAAATGAGGTACATTACAGATTCTTTTAGATGACGATCATGTCTTTTTTATAATTCTTAACTCAATACTGTTTAGAGGAACCGAGTCCTGCCATTAAATGCACTGGAAATGTGAAAAGCCTACCTATACCCCGTGCACAGTGTTCAAGTAAGACAGTGTTCTGCTGCAGGTTTCCACATTTACTCTCTGTTAGGTTGGAGTTACAAGCACAAATTCAAAGCAGGCACTTTCTGCTGGTTTTTTTTCTGGCTGCTGACAGCATCAGCTCTCTGTTCCACCATCCATGACGCTGTGCTGGGTTGCTCTGGTGATGGCAGCCAGACCTGGAGCATGGAAGAGAAGCAGCAAGAACAGACAGGATCTTGTTTCCTTGTGGATGTCTCTTACATACCACACAGTAGAAGAGAAAACCAGGAGAAGGTTGACATGTGGAACAGGCACGCAGTCCCGCATGCATAGATTGCTTACCAGAATTTCCCAGAAGATGACGGCAGGTCAAAACCCTCTTAGAAGGCTTTAAGGAAGGTGTTAAATGAACAGTAACAACAACAATAGACCAAGCACACCCTGGTGCCCTGCAAGGCTGGAGACATTATACCAACAGTGTTGAAAATGGAGCAAGTAGGGATTTATTTTTTTTTTATTTTAATGGAACTTGCTCTTCTTTGAATCATGGTACAATTGGAGGTGTAAAGGGCAGGCAGCATGAAAGTAGGAATTAGGGCACCTGAGTGATGTTTGCTATGTCAGCCATTGGCTCACTGTGTAACACCAGGCAAGTCCTCAGGGGCTGGGCTTGCTCCTATTGATATAAATGGAAGCAGAGCTGGGCTCTTGGGGTTGCTGGGACTTACAGGAAATAGTAACACTTGGCTTGGCAAAGCACTTCAAAGACTTGGGATGAATGATGCTAACAAAGCACAAAGATTTATTATTTATTTATTTATTTATTTTTTTGAGTGGTTACTAAAGTAAAACATCCCTTGGTGAAAAGCACTAATTAACACCAAAATCTGGTTGCTGTGGAAAGGACAGCTGCATTACTGTTCCCAGCAAGCAGTCTGTCCCCTGACCCTCATCCTCAAAGCAGCAGTTTGAACAGTGAAACAAATTCTGCTGTGACACTGGACAAGATCCTTGAACAAAAACAGTCTTCTCCACGTGTTGTCCATATTGCAGTGATCTTTGTGTTCCCTTGTAGCTGCAAAGACCTAGAAAAGAGGTGGCCAGTGGCCTAAATCTAGCCAGCACTAAATTTCCCTTGCTCCCTGGCAGCACTAGAGTTGGGATAAAACCTGCAGTGACTCCAGCACAGCCCGTGTTTCATCTGGTTAGAAGCCTTTGGGGATGCAAAAAAAGCCTGCCAGCACAGATATGAGAGCCCTTGCTTTTGTGTGTCATTACACAGTGCTTGAAATTCACTGCTTGGTCCATTTAGAAGGAAAATAGGGAAAGCTGGGAAACAGTGGAAAGAAGGCAAAATGTGGTGGGCAAATGAGCAGACAGCCTCTAATTGGAACAGCATTTTTTCCATAAAGGTCTACTGCAATCTACCTGAAGACTTTGTCCAAATCTCCCTCTGACAGGGCATTTCCAGTGCAGACTGAGAACATTCTGTATCCTAGGAGACATGTCTTGGCCACTGACTGTAATTACACCTAGGGTCCATCTGCTGCTGCTGACTGAGTTTGACACCTTGGGGCTACAGCCGAACTAATCAAAACAAACCTACATGATGGTAATTGGATTGGCAAACTACTGTTCCTATATTGTGCAGTGTACAGTTTGAGTTTTGAATGTGCAGTCTAAGAAAAAATATTTTTTTTCAAAAGACATTAATCTGTGTATGGATATTTTTTATTTCTCTACCGGTTTCAGTCCAAAGTCCATGAAATTCGCTGGAGTTCATGAGTTTAAAATTGCAGCATGGAAAATTTAAGTCAGCAAGTTGGGTGGAGGCATGAGAGGTATTTCTTGGGTCTGCTTATGCTTCCATTTATTTGAGAAGGAGTTTTACTGCTGGATTTCTGTAGGAACAGAAATTAAATCCTGGGACACATGTAAAAAGTATAGCCCTTTTAGAGGAGGATTATTTGGTGGTTTTGCTACTGAGCTGCAGGCTAGGGAGAACTAAAAGCAAGCGACGTTATCTAACAGCTCAGAAGTAGATTGTGGCTTACTTAGAGCAGAGAAGCAGCTGATGCCATTTGTTTAGGTCCTGCAGAAAGCTAACTTAGTTGGGTCCTCTCCTGGGATTAGAAAACACATTTTAGGCTATCGCTGTATTATAATCATAAGGTTATAATAAAGACTTTGCTTCTAGGCCATTTGGCTGCATGCCACATAATGACCACTAAGCCTTGAAATGACCATTAAGCCACCTGCACTTTAAAAGCAACAACAAAAGGACAATTGCCAGGAAACTTCTGTGACTGGTAACACATCTTAGATCCAGCTAGCTTCAAATTCCTAGGTTTCAGTTCCTAAATTCTTGGTTTTCAATTCCTGAGCAGTTGGGAGTCTGGCTGTAGTTTCACGTTGGATCCCATAGATTTAATGGGACCACCCCAAATCTGAAGCTAGTGCCACTAAACATTCAGTTCTAATGCCAAACACTGACACGTGGATGCAGCTCTAACACAACTTGAAAACCACTGCACTGCTTACTGCTGCTTATTGACTAGGACTAATGCTTGAAGCTGACCTACTAGAAACCACTTAAAAGTGTTTACAGGGTTTCCGAAGTTGAGATCTTAAAGCACAGGGGAGAAGAAAGACTCCAATATCATTTAAATGTTCTAAAAAGAATAACATGACCAAGTCCTTGGATTCTTTTTCAGGCAAAACTCCTATCATTTTATACTAATGTTTTGTAGTGAGACAACATGATCAAGCACACAGTATCAAAAAAGAAGAGTCTGTCACGCTGATGACTACAACAGAACAGGCACGTAATTTCAGAGGCCTCAGAACAGTGCAGTCTGGTTTCCTTGGGCAGCTGCTCTGTGAGTCTCGCTTTAGTGAAACCGCGGCTGCAGGATGAATTCATCTTGTATTACACATCAGAGAACTCACACATGAGGGGGAAGCATTGGCTAAAGAGCAGTTTCTTTTGCCTGAGCTCTGGATGGGTTTTGGAACACAATGGAACGCATTTTGCATGTTCACGAACTCCTGGTTTTGTGGATTGTCTAGTTTTTAACTGCATCTGGGCTAAAACCGGAGCCTTTCAGTGGCATAGAGAGTGCCAACAGTCTCATCTGTATGCTTCCTCTTCACACAAAATTCATCACTAAAACATGATCTCTCTGTCAAGGTTGAATTTTGCAGATATGTTCAAAAGCTATTAGGAGAAGCAGCTGCACCACCACTAGTTAATATTTTACAAGGTAATTTTTAAGGCAGTTTATAATAACTTCTTTCACCACATACATAAGAGGGGCGTGAGGATTAGATTTCTTGCCTTGGTTACCTACTGTGTTTTTCTTATGATGGTTATGGAGCTCCAGGCTCATTCTGTGCTAAAATTTCTCTTGATGCCTGGGGAATTCTGTTCACTAAACAAATGCTGAATATGCAGTGCACACAGGTTTGGAAGGGGACTTAGTTTGGTGTGCATGTCTTTATTAAGCCAAGCCTGGACAGGGAGACATGAGAAACACAGAATTTGCAACACAAAGTCCATCAGCCACTAATTTTCCAAAAGTTCAGCTAAGAACAGCCCCAGAGCCACCCCTGCTAGCTCTCATCAGGGAAGTGTCACCCTTTGCTCTCTTACTGACCTCAGAGAGAGCCAGACTGATCATATCCTACCTGAGGACAGCTTCACATCGCTTCACTTTTTACATTAAAGAAAGATTTGCTTTCAGCTGTGGGTATTCTTCCTCTGCTGGTAAAGACAAAACTGTAGTAGTTGAAATGCTATTTTGAAAGTGGTTTGTTGGTTTGGTTTTGTTTTGGGGGGTTTTTTTGGTTTGTTTTTTTTTGTTGTTGTTGTTGGTGGTGGTGGTTTTGTTTGTTTGTTTTTGTTTTGTTGGGAGTTTTGTTTTGTTTTGTTTTAAAGCAGATGCAGGGAGATGTAAGGATGAGACACAAAGCTAGTTAGATGCAGCACATTAGAGAGGATGACTGTGACTGTCTTTGCACAAAGTTCTACTTTGTGGACCTGGAACTGTGGTGTTATTTAGTACAGCAGCAACCACATCCAGGAGAGCAGAGGTGCTCTGGGAGGTGCTCTGTGATTTCTTCACAGATCACACAGTATCCCTTCAAAGCATGCAAATGTAAACTCTAATGCTTTGCTGAGTCAAGGTCCTAGGGAATTTAGTTTAAGACTGGACTTAGTTTTCATAGTTGTAAAAGAAGGCTGAAGAAGAGGAAGATGCTGGTTTAGCCCAGTCCCTCTGGAAATCAGCCCTGTAACATTTACTTTGCGGTGCACTACAGGCATATTCTAGTGTGAGCCTATGGAGCCCTAATACAATCACTTTGGGAGTGCAGCCCCACAAGTCTTTGGCAAGAAAGTGGCACCCCTGTAAAGAGCCAGTGCTGAGACATGGTGAGAAAATCATAATGCTTCTGCTTCTAGGCAGGTGGCAGCTCTGCCCTTCTTTTTGGCGAGATGTTACTAGGTGACGTTTTGAAGAGAATACACTGGGAAGAAGAAAAAAATGCAAAACTCTTCCACACAAGACACCTGGAAACACATTCTCTATTTATGGAGAGCGACTAGCACTCTGGGGATGCCAGTCTTCAGAGCCTTCATAATGGAATAGGCCCCACATCCCACATGCCTCTTAAAGCTACAGCATGAAAAAAATTAGGTTCTAGGTCTGACTTCTCTGTCCTTAGACCGTTCTTTGAGCATGGCTCTTTGCTGGAGGCTCATGAGCTGTTACCGTAAGATTCTAGTCTGAAAACACCCAAATCATTCTCTGGCAACTTTGCACTCATCTCCTAAGTCACTGCCATTCAGCAAGAAATCCTCTACATTACAGAACCACTCTGGCAGTAAGAATTATTCTGTGTTACAAAACAAAACTGCCAGTGCTATTTTGTTCTTATGTGATTTACACAGCTCCCTGCATCTAATCTCAGGACCTGGCTGTGAGGTAAACTAGTTATCGCCCCCAGCCTAAGTACAAGCAAACTGAAGCAGAAAGAACTGATGTGACTTGCCCTGGGCCATGCTGGCCTCCCTGATCTAGCTCTCATTCAAGTCCTCCCTAATCCCCATGCAGCCCTCTAATTAACATCTCCTGGTCGCAATGGAGGGATATGCCTGTGCCCCAGCTGCGGCAGCTCCTCTGGCTCCTGCTTTGCAGCTGGTGCTTCATGGAGGATGAAGGTTTTAAGCCACCAGCTGCCACTCCTGGGCATTGCCCCCAAAACTTGAAACAGTTTTAAATGGGGGGCCTGAAGGTGAGATAGGGCTGCACGAAGGTGAGATAGGGCTGCACTGGGAGCCTGTGACAGAGGCACAGTGAGAAGAAGATATGTTAGCTAAAATGGGCAGGAACTACAGATGATAATGTTCAATGAGAGAGTACTCATGGACTGAGTATCCTTATACCATCCTGGCTAGCTAGAATCACTTATATCTCTATGTATGACAGCATACAATAGCACTTTTTTTCAGCACATTAAACTTACAGAGCCCAGTTCATCCCATTAGTTACTTCTCTAGGGCCAGCAGAGTTGTTCCAGGAATGAATGCAACCTTTTATTATTTATGCAAATCACAGTGGCTTGGGATATCTTATGCTTCCAAGAACTTGGTGGAAATTTCCCCCTGCCTGAACAGTACCCAGGCAGTGGGATGGGAGGGTCACGTAACAGTTGGTATTTTTAGACTGGGTGACAAATTTGTCAATACCCTGGTGCTGGATGCTGTGTTCCTTGGTGTTTACAAAGTAATGTCTGCTTTAGCAGCTCAGTGCAGCTGAGGGGAAGAGCAGCTGGCACAGAAGTATCTTGTCAGACAGCAAGCTAAACAGTAGGGAGTAAGAGATTTGGCTCTGTGTGTGTTGGGTGCTACTGGGAATGTTTTGGTTTGTAAGAGGGTGATGGGATAATTTCTTCTCTTTTTTAATCACCTCCAAAATAGGCTGTGCTATTTTTGACAATTATTTAATGATTTATAAGAGATGGGAAAATAAATGAGGAAGAGAGCTCAAAACACAAATGTGTAGGTAAAGCAGAAAGACATTTTCCTTTCCCTCCTAAAAAAAACCTGTGAGCATTGTGCCAGCAGGTGAGAGTTTTGTTAAGTGCCAAGTTGCATGCAATTTCTTAGACCCTGGGGGGGGACACTCTGTTCACAAGCTTTTCTACCTGTGCACCTGTCTCCTGTACATGCTGACAAAACAGGCTTTATGTTTACCTCTCAGTAACAGTTATTTCTTCGAATTTCAAGGAATAGGTGAGATCCATGAACAGAAAGAAACTAATTTCACTGTAGAGGGACCACTGAACAGCCATCCTGGGTGGACTCACTCCACATCTGACATGAACCCTGATGGTAGAGTGATAGTTTGCTCTCATCAAATTTTAGCAACCCTCAGCCAGGCACTGTCTAGGAGCCTCTGCACCATTTTCAGCTCCCACTTGATTCAAGCTTTGTTTCCTAGCCAGTTTAATCCTGAGGCTCCTGCTCCCATTGTCTCTAGTAAGGTACCTGGGGAGCTGACCACAGGGTGCAGCCAAGTCTCCACTTATCTGTAGAGGCTTCAACCAAACTAATTTGCCTTGCTCTTCCTTAATCTGGGGCATGTCTGTGTATGAGCAACTACAGGAACTATCTGAATATGGGCTTTGAGTGGTGTAGGTTGAACATCTAG